TTAAACCACTCTCTCTTAAGCTGCCTGCATAGGCTATTCACAACCAGTGTTTTAGAACAATGTCCTATTGATGAGTCCATGCCAAAAGTGCTTTTCTTCTTACCATCTTATTAAGAGTCCCCTGGTTAGAAAAGCCTTTCTTTGGTCAACCTCTGGATTTCAGACAACTAGCTGCTTCTTTTGAGAGCGGTATGAAGGTCCCCTTCTGCAGAAGCATGGATTCTGTTGCACAACAGAATCACCCTTCTGTGAATTTTCCTCCTAGAACAGACTGGGCTCTGTGCTTCTCTCAGTAGAAAGTATCTGGAGCCATTCCTCTCTGCTCCACATTCTTAGCTGGAAAAAATAGCCCATAAGCTATCCCTTTCATACTGTGGGCCTGTGGTGTGGTAAATCTGCCTCAGATTAATTCAATTAAACACCTCAAGCTGAATCTGTCAAATGTCCTTTTTCTTTTTCATGGGCCAGATTTATTTTGTTAATAGGATCAACATATGTTCTATACAAAGGTAACCATTAAATAATTATAAACAAATAATTTCATCACATACTCCCAGCCAATTTTGCATCTCCTGCCAGATACAAAACATTTACTTTAATAAATTTACAGTGAGTAATTTACATAAAACCACTGAAATTGAGGATATTTTCAATGCAGCTGCTTATGTGCTGTGATTAGCAAAAATCTCCCACCCCCCATTCCCACCCACACACACTATTAGTCATTCCTTTGAATTAATACATTGAAGGCCTCTGTTAAAATTAAAACATTATCTACTAATAGAGAGACAAATGAAGCTATTAACATTTAGCTCAAATTAGTTGGTTGAATTCTTAATCATTAGCAAGATTCTTTGTGAACAGAACCCAGAAGTGATTAAGTTTTGAGGAGGAAAAGGAAAAGTCCAGAACATGGGCTGCTGCTGCGGAGGGAAGATGGAGTTGGGGAGCTGTTAATAGAGCTCTGGTGAGCCAGGGGCTATTTTAAAAGCCCTGGAAGCTCAGGTGGAAGGGAGATTGCTAAAATGTGAAGGATAGGATAGTTTCTAAAGGATGAGAAATTCCATTAAAAACAAATATCCTTTATTGTCAGTTCTGTCAAGAACTAGTTACCTTTTACTGGGAATGTCACTGATGAAAGTGGTCACTTCTTCACATTTTAGAAAATTATCTGGCTCTCTGTAGAGAGCATAGCAGGTGAGATTGAAGGATTCTCAAGGAACTTCTGACTCAATTGGGGGTTCAATTTGGTTTTTGGAGACATACCTTAAAATTTTGTTTGAAAATGACTAAAGACAATCTCACTGCACAATATCTAATTATGAAATGAATAAAATCAAACACCAACCTCAGTTCCAGGATCACACTGTTTGCAAGGTGCTCCCATCTCCTGAAATGTACAGATATTTGGTTTTTTATGCAGATAGAATAGTCTGTACTTGTTGTGATAAAATATACATAACACACAATTTACCATTCTAATCATTTTTCAGTGTGCAATTTAGTGGCATTAAGTCCACTCACAATGCTGTGTAACATACTATTTCCAGAATTTTGCATCATCCCAGACAGAAACTCTATGCTTTAAACAATAATTCCTTAGTTCCCCTTCCCATTAACCCCTGGTAACCTCCATTCTGCTTTCTATCTCTTTGCTCCTTGCTCTTTTAAATGGCTTTTGAAAAGGCAATTCATGACCATTACAAAAAATTAAAACAGTACAGAACAGCATATACAATGTTAACTCTTTTGGGTTTGATTTTCCAACCTATGCTTCACCTCCAGACTATCAGTGTAATCAGTTTCTTGGGTAGCTTTTTCAGAAGAGTGTCGATGTATGCACACACAGACATATAATACCTCTTCCTTTTTTACACGACTACTAACAAATCATGCATAGTTGTTGTTATTGTTGTTGTTGTTGTTGTTGTTGTTGTTCTTCTTCTTCTTCTTCTTCTTCTTCTTTTTTTTTTTTTGGTACTGGAGATTAAACTTAGGGATACTCAACCACTGAGCCACATTCCCAGCCCCTACCCACTTTTGGTACTGGGGATTGAACTCAGGGACACTTGACCACTGAGCCACATCTTCAGCCCTATTTTGTATTTTATTTAGAGACAGGGTCTCACTGAGTTGTTTAGCACCTTGCTAAGTTTCTAAGGCTGGCTTTGAACTCTCCATCCTCCTGCCTCAGCCTCCCAAGCTGCTGGGATTGTAAGTGTGCCATTGTGTCTGGCAATGCATGCATAGTTCTTTCCTGTTTTTATTTAACAATACCATATATACTCTAATATATACACACATCCAATGTATGCATATGCATATATGTGATTGTTTTTAGCAACTACATAATTTATTTATCTGCTCTGTTATGGTGAGATCAACAGACTTCTCACCCATTAACATTTTTTTGTAGTACTAGGGATTGAGCCCAGGGTATTGCATGTGCTAGGCAAATGTTCTACTATTGAACTATTTTGAGATACCCTCACCAAGTTGCCCAGGCTGGCCTCCATCTTGGGATGCTCCTGCCTTGGTCACCTGAGTAGCTGGGACACAGGTGTGCACCACCATATCTAGCCTGACTCATTAACTTTTTAAAAAGCAATTAACTTTTTTATTGAGGCAAAAAAACACATAATATAAAATTTACCCTTTGAACAATTTCCAAGTACACAGTACAATATTGTCAAGTGCATGCATATTGTGCAACAAATCCCCAGAACTGCCCCCATCCTGCATGACTGAAACTCTACACTCATCAAACAACAATTTTCATGCCCCCACGCCCTAGCCTCTGGCAACCACCATTCTAATTTCTGTTTCTATGAATCTGATTTATTTTATCTTTTTAGACTCCTCATATGAGTAGAATTATTCAATATTTGTCTTTTTTGATTGACTTATTTAATGTAGCATAAAGTTCATCTATATTGTATCATGTGACAGGATTTCCTTCTTTTTAAAGGCTGAATAGTATTCCGTGGCATGTATATATCAGATTTTCCTTATGCATTAATCTGTTGATGAACACTTAGATGATTTTCATTTCTTCGATATTTTGAATAGTACTGAAATAAACATGGGAGTGAAGTTGTCACTTCTATTTTAGAGAAGGATCCATGTGCTTCTGAGAAGAAAGTGTATTTAGTCAAGATGTCTCTTCTATATACAGATTTCATTTCTTTTGGGTACATACTCAGAAGTGGATTTGCTGGATCATATGGTAATTTTGTTTTTAACTTTTTGAGGAGACTCCATATTGTTTTCTATAGTGGCTACACCAATTTAAAATCCCTTACATAGTGACTGCACCATTTTTCAACAGTGTGCAAAGGTTCCAATTTCTCTACAACCTTGTCAGCATTTATTATTTTCTATAATAAATATTTAATATAATGGCCATCCTAATAGGAGTGAGATGACATCTCATTGTGATTAGTGATGTTGAACATCTTATCACAATACTTGTTGGCCATTCATTCCTCTTCTTTAGAAAAAATGTCTATCCTTTGCCAATTTTTAGTGTTTTTGATTGAGTTCTAAAAGTTCTTTATATATTCTGAATACTAATTCTTTATCAAATATATGATTTGCAAATATTTTCTGCCATTCTGTAGGTTGTCTTTTCACTCTGTTGATTGTGTTCTTTGTTGTACAGATGTTTTTAAGATGCATGTAGTCCCATTGTTTATTTTTTGCCTTTGTTGCCTGTGTTTTTGGTGTGACTCATTAACTTTTACTTCTCCTAGGGCTGGACTTTCATCAGGGTAGCTTGGTTGTGATTTTTGCCTTTGTTTCCACCTCAGTGCTCTCCAGCACATTGTTTAACAGGGGTGTTGGCTGAATACTATTGGTTCCCTGACAGGATACACCCAGAGCTACCTTAATTTTTCTGGACTTGTTCCCATACACAATAATGGAAGGCTTAACTGAGAGGAATTGTTTCCTCCCATTTTATGGCTTCTTTTCCCTTTTCACCTTTTGCTCCTTATTAGAAATAGTCTTTTCTGGGGCTTCCTCTTCCTTTCCTCTCTCATTCACCTTGTGAGTGGGGCGGTGGTCTCTGAGCCAATGAAAGGTCAGCAGACAGGCCGACTCCAGACCAATGGGAGGCTCCAGGGTTCCAAATGGACCAATCAGCTTTTTAGGGATATTGTATACCTGGATAGCTAGCATCTGCCCCATTGTCCTCCTTGTATTGACCCTCTTGTTTTGCTCAACAAGGATTTGAAGATGCAAAAAACTCCCCTACCCACACACACACTCTCTGATAGCTTTAATACATCTGCATAACTTCTGCCCAAGGCCAGTGTTACAGAGCCATTCTCCCTTTGTAAAAAGAAAGAGGGGTTGGGTTTCCTTCAATTGTCTGCCCTTTTCTGTCTCCTCCACTATTTTTGTTTTACTCTGTAGTTAACTTTGCATAGAGGAGCTTCGTCGGGAGGACCTGTTCGATGGACCCAGATACTCTCTTCTCATTGGCGGGTGCAACGGCCTTTTCCTTGTTCTAACCTGGGGGTTTGTGGGGCGAGGGGGCTGGTGGGTGGGAGAAGAGTTTGGCCATAGTCTTCCTTCTTCATTTCACACACATTCTGCGCTCTTCCCCTCTGTCTCTGTTTCTCTCTCTCTCTCTCTCTCTCTCTCTCTCTC